CAAGCGGAAAGGGGATGATTCTACGCGAAAAAAGAAGTCGAAAATATAGAATAACAATTTTTTTTTTTAATTTTTCCATCGAGACAACAAAGTGCACGCGTACCGAGCGAAAATTCAAAGTCGATTTTCTCGAAAACGAAGCTTCAAACGAAAAATTTTTATTCTGTATTTTCGACTTCTTTTTTCGCGTAGAATCACCCCCTTTCCGCTTGTACCACCAGTTGCCAACCACCCTGTATAAGTGTCCAAATACGTTTATGAGTCATTGTACATGATACATAATAAGAATAAAAGAAAGTTTTTTAAAAGACAATTAATTAAATTTATAGTGGGAAGCATCACAGAGTCCAGTTCAAGCGATACTGATGCGGAAAACATTTTGGAACGAGCAACTACATGGTTATGGAGTCAACGAAATAAAAATGCTGGTTGGGGAAACGACACTCATCGTGTGTTGCTGGTCCTCCGATTAAGCAATCTCTCGCGAGAGGATAATGTTGCACCTGCCGTTCCCCTCGAACTGCAACTTAGCAGCAAACAAATGGAACTAGAAATAGTCCTGCTATTATGGAGGTAAAAGATACTCGTTTTTTAATAGTTTCACAATCGGTAGTACAGATAAGAATAAGGTTCTATACGTAGTTGGATGACATTCACAATTGAGTGACTTATAACTATAGCAAAAACAATCCTTATTCATGTTCGTCCTTCTCTAGGAAGTCAAAACATCATGACATGTTTGCAGTTCATCGAGTTTCGAACGTATCTTTTAATAGACAGAAAAGTGAAAAGGAACTCCGAAGAGGAACGCCTGAATAAAATAAAGCGCAATGTATTGTTAGATGCAGGATCGAAACCCGAAGAATCACAAATACGTCTGTCAAAAAATATTTGTCATCTAGTAAACACCGTGAATGTTTAAAATCCAAAATTCTTTAATCACTATTCGGCCATAGATCTTGGTAATTATCGATATCTCGCTCAGCTCACCGATTTCGATCACTTTTGAATATGTCGTCGGGGGCATGATTCTGAACAACTGTTTTCTATACATGCAATCGTCGTTAGGATTTAGTTTCCAAAATATTCGTAAAAAACTGTCGGTGTGTCGTTACTGTGACTTCTGCTTATAATCGTGCGCCTATATGTCAGTATTGGTCACCTCACATCGGTGCCCTAAAATGGGGTCGAATCCAAACCTATATGAACGTTAAACAAAGGACAAAAATTGTTTTGTTTTATCCATATACCGTGCCGTTGTGAAACGGTTGGCAACCAATACTGACAATATACGCTGTCACGAACGCACAATTGTAGACAGAATTCAGTATAGTGGTACGACAGTATTTTGCAGGTATTGTAAGTATAATCAAGTATGTTGATTTCTTCATCATATTTAAAAATTATCGAAATGAGGTGGGTGAGATATCGATAATTACTTAGATAATTCTTTTTTGCAAATTTATGTTTTCATACAGCCAATTAATGAAGTAGAATTTAAGCAAACATGCGTTTTACCTATTGAAAATTATAGCGAATACTCCATTTTGAATACATTTTAAACAGTTTTGTATTTTGTATGCGTTCCGTATATCTTTGTATTCTTAAGTTTCGCATGAATGCGTAAAAATCCGCAGATTTGTTATTATTCATTGAAAAAATAATGACAGTATTTTTCTATAGACACAGAGAAGTTGGTTTTTCACCGGTTCGACTAGCACGCTACACTCTTGCCTTAAACGCCATGTGCACGGATCCAAGACAGTTTCACGGTCACGACTTGATTGGAACGCTTCAACATCACGAACCACCGACCGATTATGAATTCGCCCTTACAACGCTAGCTGCGTGCAACGCACAAGCTCATGTAAGGAAAAGACAGATACGTCGATTGCTTGACATTGCGAACGCTGCTCAGGATCACAATGTGGGTGAGTGCCTTCAGAGTTTCCCGATATTCTTCTGATTGCGTCGGAGTTGTTAAGAGTTTTTTTATATGGGGATACGCAGGCTCATGAAAGTATTTACAAATGTTTGTGTTCGAACATTGGTTTCTATGAATATACAGATGACGCGTGTTATACAAAGCTTCTTAAAATTTCGTTAGTAACGCAATAAGACACGAGTATCATAATTATATGTATCGCAATATGAAATCAATCGGAAAATTCACAGTATTGTTCGCTTTAGCTTTCACAGTCTGAGGTAAATCTGCGTGCATATCTGGCTTGGTGACTTCTGAAAATTTACCTGATCGCGAGGGAAGACGAAAGAACGAATGTGAGTGAGATATTGATATCGGGCACGGGAGCACGCGGCCTCCAGTGAGACAATGAGACAGCAACGTAAAGGCTCCTGTACACGTTGAGACATGTTGCGATGCATCGATACTTAGATTTCACGATACATGTTACGATTCATGTAGTTCGCTATCAGCGAATCGGTATCAAAAGCAACTTGTATGGATGCAAAAATCAGAATCCGATCTTAAGTGGAGAGCAAAGCCCGATTTGGATGCAAGTTTCAACGCGTAAAGCTAGAGGGTAGCATACAAAGCATACCATTGAAGGTAGCCGAAGATAATTTACAGTAGATTCTTATCGTTGAATTTTGTTTATCAATCCTTTGAATTAAAAAATCTCTTTGTCTCCATTAACCATCGTTATGCCCATTTCTTTCAGACTTTTAATTTTTTAATTTTTGTAATCAACATAATAACGCTGGAATATATGGAAAATAAGTAGACATTTCGAAACACTTGTTCAACGTCGGTATCACGCATAATCACAAATGGAGAAGAACTGGTAATGTCGAGGTGAACTGATGCTGATGTAAATTTCATGAAACCTAGGCGTCGACACGTACGTCGCAACATGTTATAACGTGTACAGAGAGGGATCTGCACATCGAGATTCTATTTCCAAGAACTGGCAAATCCGAACACCAAAGCGAACACTACTGTACAGAGAAATTATGAAATATTTATTGCAAACGTATATCTAAGCACATAATAAGTGTTAACTATGATCTCACTGAATATTATTACCGCTTTATTAATATAATGGATAATTGACTGCTTGAAATGAAGTATCACTCAAGAGCAAATGGTCGACATCCTGTTACAGAATTAAATGGATATTGTATCACATGAGTATTTCCCATATTTTAGTCTCGAAAGTATATCTCACACACGTATTATGATATACGTATATACATTGGCTAAAGTATTGGCAAACATCCTTATTTTCCAACGAAGCGTTTCTTCTATCAGGCTCTACACACATTTCATTCTCTCAGTACCAAATTTTTGCAGACATATGAAAGTATATACCTGTATCTAATTAATTAGTAAGCTAGAAATTTGTCAGGATAGGTTTATTCCTTCAAGATTCTGGAGAGATAAGTATCGCGCGGTCCTTCACAGTCACAGTCCGCTTACAAAAAAGGTATCATTGCCTTGCCTACTCATCTGGCCAAATTCTTTAGACTTTAGATTTAGACAAAGTCTTTATTATTTGGCAATGCAACCTCGCGTCGCGTCAGTCAACTACCTTACGCATCCTCTTTATAAGCTCTATAAACTCTAAACAGTCGTATCATCGACGCTTCGTTTCATAGTTCAACGCCATGGGATCGCGCCGGCTATCGACTTTTCAAACATGCACTCAAGCGTCTTGCCAAGGTCCTTACCCGAGCCCTCGGCCCAGTCACAAATTACGGTAAGGCTAGATAGCGGCGAGCTATCTGCTACAACGTCGTGAAGAAAATGCATTGCCTCTAACAAGTATGTAAGTGCTATAATAAATACGATAACGTGCGATTACTTTTTATAGCCCCATATGAAAGAGCTCTTATTGTTAGACTATTTCCGAATTGGTTTCTCAAAACAATCACTTTCCTTCATCTCATAATTTCTCTTTCTGATCTTAGATACCGTCGCAATGGTAATCTTAGCCTTAAGGTGCATCGTTCAGGACCACAGACATCGAAATCTCCATCATTTTGTGCGCAAACCATCGATTGGTTTAGCACAACAGCAAAGACTCGATGGTAGTTTCGGAGACGTTCGTACAACGGCCTTAGTAATGCAAGCCCTCGAGGAAGCAGAAAATGAGCCTGCTGATAATTGGAATAGATCAGCTGCTTTAGCATGGTTAACCAATCAGCAACGAGCCGATGGTTCTTTCGCTGGTGATGTTCGCGCGACCGCTGAAGCACTTCTAGGAGTGACACCACGTGGTTTAGCGAGTATCAGAACGCTTGATTGCGGACAAGGACCTAGCGAAACTTCATTACCGAAATTCACTACAAGTGGTAATGGTAAGTACTTTTCACACTCGTCATTCCTCTTTTCTTCCTCTTCATACACATAAAGGCTCGTACAGGCACGTCCAGTAATCGTTCGTCGAGTAATGTAGTAACTTATCGCGTAGGAGCATAGAATAATTTAGTCAAATACAATACATTCAATTATTTGGTCCACGAACACTTAGTACGGAACCTTTTTTATGGGTATATTATGTGCATTATGCGAAACTCTTTGAAATTTTGTTAGCGTTATATCGATGTTCGCGATCATAATAGTTGAATTTGAAAGCAATGTGAAAATGTATATGTCTACAACCTACAAAACATTTATTGCAAACATACAGTTATTGCTAGTGAAAAATTAGTATACAACATGAATAATAGTACAATTAGTGGTAAAGACTAATACTTGTACTAATAACTAAAGACTCACTACATATACAGGGTGGTTGGTAACTGGTGGTACAAGTAGAAAGGGAGTGATTCTACGCGAAAAAAGAAGTCGAAAATATAGAATAAAAATTTTTCGTTCGAGGCTTTGTTTTCGAGAAAATCGACTTTGAATTTTCGCTCGGTACACGTGCACTTTATCACGTCTCGTTATAACGGACCTCACTGTAGATCGTTGTCTCGATGGAAAAATTAAAAAAAAAAAATTGTTATTCTATATTTTCGACTTCTTTTTTCGCGTAGAATCACTCCCTTTCTACTTGTACCACCAGTTACCAACCACCCTGTATATGTAGTGAGTCTTTAGTTATTAGTACAAGTATTAGTCTTTACCACTAATTGTACTATTATTCATGTTGTATACTAATTTTTCACTAGCAATAACTGTATGTTTGCAATAAATGTTTTGTAGGTTGTAGACATATACATTTTCACATTGCTTTCAAATTCAACTATTATGATCGCGAACATCGATATAACGCTAACAAAATTTCAAAGAGTTTCGCATAATGCACATAATATACCCATAAAAAAGGTTCCGTACTAAGTGTTCGTGGACCAAATAATTGAATGTATTGTATTTGACTAAATTATTCTATGCTCCTACGCGATAAGTTACTACATTACTCGACGAACGATTACTGGACGTGCCTGTACGAGCCTTTATGTGTATGAAGAGGAAGAAAAGAGGAATGACGAGTGTGAAAAGTACTTACCATTACCACTTGTAGTGAATTTCGGTAATGAAGTTTCGCTAGGTCCTTGTCCGCAATCAAGCGTTCTGATACTCGCTAAACCACGTGGTGTCACTCCTAGAAGTGCTTCAGCGGTCGCGCGAACATCACCAGCGAAAGAACCATCGGCTCGTTGCTGATTGGTTAACCATGCTAAAGCAGCTGATCTATTCCAATTATCAGCAGGCTCATTTTCTGCTTCCTCGAGGGCTTGCATTACTAAGGCCGTTGTACGAACGTCTCCGAAACTACCATCGAGTCTTTGCTGTTGTGCTAAACCAATCGATGGTTTGCGCACAAAATGATGGAGATTTCGATGTCTGTGGTCCTGAACGATGCACCTTAAGGCTAAGATTACCATTGCGACGGTATCTAAGATCAGAAAGAGAAATATTATGGCTTATTAATATAACGACTAATTGACTGTTCAAATGCTTTGGTTATCTTCGCGAAGTGTATGCTTTTAATAGACATTCCGTAATTTGTACGTATATTTTCAGATCTGTTTTAAATGTTATCAATATGATCGCGATTATTGTGTCTCTTTACATCGTTAATGAGACTTCAAAGTGTTTTGTATAATACAGAGTGGTAGGAAAAAGAGGTTCGTAATTTTTAAAGCAGATAGTACTCGCCAAACGATGAAAAAAGTTCTAATAAACGTGGGTCGAAAAATCAATGTTATTAAAATTGTGAACAACTTTGTTTCGATTAAACCGACTGACATCCCTTTTTTCCTGGTTACAAAAGATTCTCTCCATGTTCTCCTTCCATTTCTACATGCGCTTGACACCTTCATATCAGAGAATTCCATATTCTTTCTAAAATTCCTAGACGTGGAATTCTAATTGTCTCACTGGCATTTTGTATTGACACATAGACATTGAGATGCGCATATATACGCGTCGTTACCTCCCTTCTATACGTATGTATGTATATGACGGGGCAGCGTATTACATTTTGAATAACTTTTCAAAACCTAGCCCTACGAGTAACGAACCTCCCTTTTTTATCATCCTATATATTTATACGCATAAAAAGTTCCGGTAATTATCGATACCTTATCCATCTGATCGATTTGAATGATTTTTGAATGTATTATTGGGATATGATTCTAAACAACTTTTCCTATATGTACATATAAACCGTCGCTCGGCCTTAGTTTCCGAGACATTGGCAAAAAATTATCGGTACCACCACAGTGAATTCCTTCACAGCGAATTTTCAATTGCGCATGCGTGACAGCGTATACATATGTCTGCATTAACTAACCTTAAGTCTCGCCTCGATGCGGTGGTCGCATATATTGTAACGCCTAACCTAATTCATATCTTTTGTTTGTAATTTATACAGGTTTTGGTTAGGCCCATCAATAATCCCATCAATAATAACGCTGACACTGTAAGGGACGCGCAATTATAAGCAGAATTCACAGTAGTAATATTGACAATTTTTGCAAATATCTCGAATACTAAGATCGAGCGGTGGTTACACGTATAGGAAAAAGATGCTCAAAATATTGATTTCTATACATATTGAAAAGTCATCGATATCGGTGAAGCGAATGGTACCGATAATTAACAATATTTTCGTGGGCCGCTTTTTGCTCGTTTTGATGAGTACTACATTACATGCATCTGAAGTTTGATAGCAACTTTCTGAAGCACCCTGTATAAGGCATTGGGATACAAACAGTCTATTTTTTGTAGCGTCGATAGTTTTTTCATAGCATTATATTCCAAAGTGAAATTGCTATTTTTCGAGCCCGATCTACGGTATAGTTGCTACCTGTATGCTACAGTTACACAATTTTACAAATATTTCAATGCAATGCCGCAGAGCCAGCGGCGATTCCAGGCAATCGCAACGACAGTGTATCGATATCTGTAATTTCTGGAGGCAGTATCGCGGGTAATGTTACCGTTGGGAATATCGAAACTAATGGAAACAATGGGAATAACGGGAACAATGGCAATAATGCAGTAAACACGCTCAACACGAGCAATACCGATGGTATGATCGTTACCGCTGCAACACCGATTATGGTGAACGTCTCTTACACTCTATGGGTTGGCAGCAACGTAAACGAGACATACAGTTTGATAGTGACCGCATCTAAAAATGAAACATTTTACGAAGTGATGCTTCTAGCCGCAGATATGTCACCGCATTTCCAATTTGTTGCATCCGAATGGCCGAATGGGCATTATGTTCACACGATAGCAGGTTACAAAGAGGAACCAATGTCCTATCATTATTGGTTGTTATATCGACTCACTTCTCCGCCAGATCCAGCCTCGCCACCGGGTAATCAACTGGTTGCACCTGGGGGTATGTAAAAGCGGAAAAATACACTGCTCAGTACAATCAAGGGACCACTATACTATCAACTTGTTATTTTTTATTTACTGTCATAGATAATCAAGATAAAAGTAAAATAATATTCATAATACTATTTCTAATGTTTGTATTGTACTATAATGTATATTTATATGGTTACTTATTAATTTTTCAATATTTCAATATGGCACTACATTTGTATGTTTTGGTTTGTACAAAAGGGGAGGATTCAAATGTCGTGTTGCTTATTCCATTAACATACGAACTATTTATTATTTATTAGTAATTTGAAAATATGTAAAAAATTTCTTTCTTTCGTTAGTCGCTGTACGAAGACTATAAAGAAAGTACATGATAAGTCACGTTTTCTATTTTTCACTGGAAAGCAGTTATGATGCACCAGAAGATATCGTCAATCAAGCTCGTATTACGAAAATTGTCTTTGTATTTTATTTTGAGGCTAAATGTACCTTTCATCCTCTCAAACATTTGAAAAATATTGCTCGTCATAATATTAACTTGAATAACATCAAATTCAACCATTTATACAATTCCTCTATCTTTAATTGAGATTTCCAAGGTATCTCAAAAAAATATTCGACATCAATTGTAATGGCTGTTGAGACTTTCTAAATATGAAAAAATATTTTGTACAATATTTTTCACGTTACATATGAATTTACAAAGCTTTATCAAACTCGAGGTGTCAGACTTGGGTGATTGGCGTCTCTTGTTAAAATTTCCTTAGATTCGAATATACAGGGTGTCGCATGTAACAGGGCAAGTTATACATAGTTCTGAAACGATGAAAGGTAGAAAAGAATTTCGTTAAACGAAATTAAATAGTTTCGAATAATACATTGTTCGGTGTGTATGTGTATCCGTATCCATTCTGGAAGTGATAGGATTTTAAAGATTTTAAGATCCTCTCTACTTTTTAAATAGATTTATAAATCGTTCTACATATCAACCGCTGTGTCTTTTGATTCTCTATATACTATACAGAAGTAATAGAATTAAAGGATATTTCAATTTTATATAAAGTTCATTAAATCGAGTTTATGGAAGATATGGAAAACATAAACATACAAGTGCTGCATCGTCTTCTTCGTCTATTACTATTACAATAGTAATATTATAAGTCTATTATACGATAACAATAAGATGTTACAAAATTAATATTAAAATTTTTTTTAAACTAAGCAATTTTCCATCTATATATTTTATTGTATATGTATATATTTTTTATAGAGAATACAACGATTCAACGATTGGTGTATAAACAAATGGGTATATAGATCTATTTGAAAAAATGGAGGTGACCTTAAAATATTCGAAAGGTCATCAACTTCGGAGTAGTCACTTACTCTAGAACATGTATCATTCAAAAGATTTTAATTTTGTCTAATGAAATTTTTTTCTATCTTTTACCTTTTACTATAGCTATAATTTGTCCCAGTTACATGGAACACCCTATATACATATTACATATATCCTTAATACCAAGAGTACTTCATGCGTCACTTTCTCGTCCTAATATCGACATATCGACATATGTATGTACATGCATATCATCATCCCAACACCGTTACTATGCTCTAACTAGAACAATCTTTTAGGTGTGGATGACCTACAGATCAACGAGGGAGATCACTATCTGTTCTGGTATAAAAAGCTATGAGAATCTGCAACATGTTGATTTTCGGTTGAATCAAACGAGAACCAGAAGGAGACAAAGGAACGGAACTACTTTGAGTGTGTGTGTGTGTGGAGAGAGAGAGAGAGAGAGAGAGAGAGAGAGAATTGAGGAATGAGGAATGAGGAGAATGATGCAAGAGCAAAGAGTAAAAATTCTTATCGTTAGTCACGTGAAAAGGGCTCACTTTATTCACTGCCATCGCTAAAACTCACGTACAACACTGTACGCGACATTTTCCTGGAACATCTTCGCATCGTTCGTATGTCATGTTCTTAGGAGGGTGCCGAAGAAAATAGAGCTGGCAGTGACTGATTTTCTCAAACTCTGCTCTAAACCGGAGCCGATTCAATGAATTGGTGAATTGGCGAATTGGCGACACACGACATCGCTACTTGGACTGACGTGGTACGGGGCAATAACGAAAATACCATGAGTATCGTAATTTAAGCTAACAGCATATTTTCTATGAAACTGCAATGCACAACCACATTGTACCTAAGTACTTATACGATATGGCGATAACGTATGACGTATAGTATCAACGTATCGATTGATATTTCAATAAATCCCATATCTATATTATATTAGTAACCTAACCTATTTCTTGGTATCTTGCTGCGCAATTGCTTTATAATCACCGAATTCCTGCGCTACAAGACGAAACGTCTGCTTGCCACGATAAATAACATACACGAAAAAGAAATTTCTCCTCCAGGGGGAAGAATATATTTCGATCGACGGTTTTTGATAATTTGCCTAACGTTGTAATATGTATACAGTATGTTTTGTTTCTTGGAATGAATAAAATGTCAAATTACAAATTGTACATGGCGTTTTATCCCCTCGAAAAACTGCGACGTACACATAGGATACCATTGTACATGGAACTGCATATCTTATTTAAAAAATTATATTTAATATATTTTTCATAGACTCGTTTGTATCATAGATTATATTATTACATTATTGTCGTTGTATTTATTATTGAAAGAAACTTTTTGTTTCAAAAGGGTTAAGAAGTTCGTTATACACAGTTCTTGGAATAGGTGAGGTACAGAAGGTTTTTTAAAAGTTGACAGAGGAACTATTGTGATTAATTCTATCAATGACATTTAAAATCGACTAACACTTGGACGAATCGTATATTTAATTTCACATACCATTAACAAGGTTTAAAATAAACAATTTAAATTTCATGTGGTATATGTGTAGGTGCTACAGAAGCTATTTGTACACCATTGTATTTCTTATTGCATCTAGTTTGATTTGACTACAATAAATTTTACATCATTTAATAGTATATACTTTCATATGATCGCAAGAATTTGATACTTTGATGGAAATGATATGCAGAACCTAATAAAAAGGCGCTTCATTGGAGAATAAGGGTACGTATAAATACTTTTTGTAGCCCCTTGTATATCTGTTGGTTTCACAAGGGGATAAGAAATATTGTTTTTGATTATTAGTTAACCATTAATTCATATAGTTTAGCAACATACGCATGTCATTGTATATTAGCAACATATACATGTATCGCTAATATAAATTGACGAAAGTAATCACATAGCAGCGATGTAAATGATTACGTTGTTAAACGGCAGCAGAAGGTTAATTATTTTGCATTAATTACTTGCATAAATTGCTTTAGATCCTAGCGTTAGCCGCATATTCAGCTATTTGAAATTGTACCGTAAGTACGTGATTGACTCAATGTTATCAGCATCGTAACTTCGATTTATCAGTAATAAGTTGCAATAATAAACGGAAGTATTGACACAGATCTGTTTCTCATGTAAAATCCTAATAAATCTATACAATATAGATTATTTATCCAATGTCTTATAAATTATAAGATATAAATTTTGACTTTAAAGTTTAAATATGTCTAGTGAATTCCGGTTATTTGGAATACATCGGGACTAGCGTATCATATATATAAATACATACATATATATACATATATACCTACTACGTGTGTGTATGTAGGTGCATACGTAAAATGTTATAAAATAAACAAACTAGTTGAAGACAGTTCTGAAACAAGGACAAAGTTAGAGCAAGTGGAAACAAACGTGAAATACAACACATAAGCAACGCTCTATGTTGTGTTTACGAAAAAAAAATGGCAAGGCAAAGAAACGCGGGTCTGATTGGTTATTTCTAAAGGAGCGTTCAGACGATTAATATTATTATGAATGTTATCATCAATACTCAGGATCCTCAACATTATCCTATGTAACAGACCTTTAGACTCTATACATACATACATATATTGTTAATACGATGGTGAGAACCACTTTGATCGCTTACGAAAAGAGCATTCGTTTATATTACTTTATATCTTTTTATATGGACCGCGTACAGATGTGTGCGTATTTGAGGACGCAACTGTATGATGACTATTTTATTCTCGAGACTTACCAACTGGACTGATCTGTTTTCCTGTTATCGTTGGTCTCATAAAATTGATCAACTACGCGTACTAGCGATAAGACTGTCTCTCAAATAGCATTTCTATATGTATACGTATGACGCCGGATGAAGAACTTTTTTCCGGGGGTATAACCAATCGAAACGTTGTATTTTTATACACACATATGTGTGTAAGTAGTGGCTTTATTGATAATAACAGTTCATCAAAACTGTCTATATAGATTCGAAAATAAGCGAAAAATTTGATAGGACAAGCTCTTGGATCATCGCACAGTATAGCGTGTAATACTTTCGTTTCAACAATCGTTCGCTGGAGAAAAGTACAAATTATTGCAGTTTTTTCAAAGTACATGGCGAAAACAGCAACAGAATTGTTTTGCTGCATTATGTGAGCGACAGCGACAAAATAGACTGACATTAGTGCGCGGGGGCTCTAATAGACTCAATACGATCATGCAGATAAGCACTCGTTTTGTCCGAAAGCGTTACGTTACAAACAAGACCATATAGCGAAGCGTGATGGAGAGTGAAGGAGAGGAGTAGTCCACTCTTGTCCTTGTGTTGTCCCGTTTACTATCTTCTCATTCTCGTATAGACTACTGCAAACTGCAGTCATCTGTCTCAAATAAGCAGCACACTGTCCCAATTAAAGTGAAGAAAACTAGGACTATTTATTCGATTAGGACTTTTTATTTTTTAAATCGTGTTCCAAATAAACTGTTACCTCGATTAATTGCTGTGGCTCAAATAAATGGAATCCACTATATATCGTAATTTATTATTATTATCTTACAAATATGTAAAACGCGTTAACAATTCTTTGGCATTTTACCTTTTACTTAACCTCATGAATTGTATTATTGTTGTATAACCCCTTTCCACTACTAATTAATTTTCTTTTTGATCATTCCTCTCGCGTCATGTGTCCTTATGATGCGTTTAGACTACACCAAACGTGTAAACGCACGTTTCTCCATTCTGACAAAATTTCGTAACTAAAAGGCATAAACGAGCCATTCAGCGATTGCTCGCCGAATCGGAGATCGAAAATCCGAATGCTTTAACAGTAAAAGTGCTCTGCGCCTTCACGATGAACGCGAACGAATGGAACGTCCGTAGAAATTGAACCGAGCATCTGAAATGTTTAATAGTTATATTGGGATTCGTGACAGCGATATCTGACGAAGGAACTATAATTGACTTAACAAAGAAAAAAAAAAAAAAATTGGGGAAGAAGAAACAGGAAAGAAACATTTTAAAATCGCGTTAGCACTATGAAGAGGTACGATTGTCGCGATTATATTGGTAAACTTTGAGACTTCGAAGATCACACAACTATTTGAACAGTTAATTATTTATTATGTTAATAAGCTACTACATGCAGTGAAATCATCTTTGGGATTAATCGTATGTTCAAGGCTGCCATTCATGCTGTGTACTAATTTTTCACTAATAGTAAGCGTATGTTTTCAATAAATGTCACATAACCTCTATATACATTTTCTGTTAAAAATGACAACGTGAGTTCGCGTTCGCCATCCTCATGCAGATGCGCTAGTTACAATAAATAGTAACTAGAAGATAATTCTAGATACAATCGATAGATTTAATCGATAGGTTTAAGATGTTCTTTTGTTTTTATCACTAGTCCATGTAAGAAAGTGCGATAAAGGTTTTTCGGCTCAGAACGGTGTGATAGATTTATCCAAAGAATAAAATAATAGCTATTGTGATCCTACCTCTGAATACAGAAATAACAACATTTTCAGACTGATTTCAAATTTTACAGTGTTTACAATGTTACAGTCACGAACATCGCTATAGCGTTAACGAAATGTCAAACAGTTTCGTATAATGCACATCTTAGTATATCCATAAAAATGTTCTGTGCTAAGTGATCGAATACTTTCGTGAGCTACTGTATTTCATTGAAACTCGTCTCTTCATTTCTCTTTCTGCTCTCTTTTCTTCTTCTCATTTTTCTATTGTTTATAACCATCGATTACATCGCGGCAATTATGCGGATATGGTGAACGAGGATCAGCAAGAGTGTACAGGCGATCGATGCATACGTTCGAGGGAAAACGAAAACTCAGACAGAGAGTAAAAACCGGCGTGAGGGGGAAAAACATGAAACAGATATCTACGCTGGCGAGATATTAGCCAGGAAATTGTTGACGAGACATTCGCCTGGAAAAATTTGTATGTAATCGGTTCGTGGTAAGTCGATGTTTAAATTTCGACTTGCTACCGTATAGATAAAAATATTGCAGCATAAAAATGCCACACACACAAGAACCTTCGCAGGCTATGGAAGATACGAACGAAAAGTGTCAATAATATCTACTATTGGGTTGGCAACTAAGTGATTGCGGATTTTGTCAATAGGTGGTATTGACAAAACATGTAGCGCGTTTAGACCAAATGAGTGAACGCTTATCCTTTATCAGCTTTAAAAAACTTAGAAACAAGAGCGTAAACGAGCCAAGGAGCACAAATAACGAATGCCCGGCGAATTGGAAACCGAACATCCGAATGCTTTGACGATGCTCTAAAGGTGCTCTAAAATTCTCTAAAACCGCCTATTCGATTGTTTTCATTTTCATTGGGGCAAAAGTGAGCCAAGTATAGTACACGTAATATGTACATACGTTCAATGTTGGGTTCTTTTCTAAATATATATATGTAGATGCTAAAAAATGTGCGTGAATATTTTTGATCAGTTTAGAATGTTTTTAAGAAGGGAAAAAGCATTTTTCTCCAATAATTTTGTAAATCGGATACGTTTATGAAAATTATATTTATAACAGCGCAACTGTCATCCTGGGTGCAAATAGTTAAACCGTAAAAAATAGAAATCTTATTTTTGAAGATTCTATTCTTGTATATACTATAAATACGTGGCGATTTATTTATCTATTGATGAGAAATTATTTTCTTATCGTATATTATTAAAAAAAATATAACAACTAATTCATCGTATTAATTGCATATTTCAATTCCAAATTTTCTATTCCTCTTAATCGTTTCTTTTATTTAAACGCGAAAAAAGATTGCGTTACATTCAAATTTCGCATTTGAGTTGCTTCGAACGAAACTCGTTCTATTTCAAAGGGATCACCATCTTTAAGGTATTTTCTGCTTTAAATCGCACGCCGTAAAATGCGCACTGTACGACTTTTAACGGATGGTTACGAAAAAGAAACCACAAAATTATTAATCGGAAGAAAAAAGAATATTTCTCTGAAAGAATGATTTCCAAATAATTGAAATTTTATAGATGTTCTAGAAAACATTTGTCAAACTATTCTTACGTGCAGAAACATTAACTTGATCCAAAATTAACTTTAATTACAAAAACTACAGTGAAATCAAGCTACAATGATTTGA